TATATTCAATTAAATTAAGCTTAAAATCCAAAGAATTAAATCTATTTCTCCTCTGACTTTATACATATATATTGACAATGTACGACCAAACCTTTTGCATCACCAATGAAAAACCTGCTGTCCCGCCTTTTCAGCGTTTCCGGTTTAATTTATCAAGTTCAAACAACAAATATATTGAATCGCGAATTGAAAAGTACCAGGTTGTTCAAATAACGATCAGTGTTAAATATTTTATCAAAATGGTAATTCGTTTTGTTTAATTTTGTTCTGATCATTCTAGATCATTTTCATTCATTTCTTTTCTCGACATTAGCCAATGAACGTTGGTTCGTCGAACTTTTTGTATTTACCATTGGGAGAAATATTTGACGGTGTCAGCAGAGTAGTTGGATTAAGAGAGACTTCTCCTCCCAATTCTATCGGATTCCTTTGTCCTTTGGTTATGCGGTGTTACGTCAGTGACCGACCTCCATCTCGACGAAAAGACAATTCTGGGCAGTGTCCTTGATGTCACAGGTGCGAAGTAGATATCAGAATTTAGAATTAAAATTGATGAATCATCTCGATATGGCTTCGATATATGAATTACAGCCTTGTATTCTATATTGAAAATATATGTTGTCGTATAGCTGCTACGTTGGGTTTCAACATAAGTTTCGCGTAAAGATATAAAATACGACTGTTTGTTGTAAAGCAAAACAAGTTTTAATCTAAAAATCAGTACATGAAAACCCTCGACATAAGTCGTGGATTACTGTTAAATACAAATAATATAGTGAAGTTTTGTCATCACATTTGCCAAATATGGTGATCGCATAAAAGTAAAATCGTAGACAATGGAGACTATAATCAGAGATGCATTCCGCTATCATTATAATTTTACAATGACGACTTACTGTCAACGAGTGACAATTTCCGTTATCGCTCACTGACCAACGCACACTTATAGTAATAATGAATAGTCAGCATACAATGTCTAAAGAATGTGAAGAATTTTTGTAAACCTGTGGATTCCCACAAGATCTCATTTATATAATAATGCTAGCTTTGTTTGTCGAGAATAAATAGCTACCGCAAACTATACTAATGAGATAACTAAACTCAAACCCGTTTCCCTGGATTGGGATTTCGATACAATTTTAAAATCTACGGGACTTCGCTTTTTCGAATATAGTTCGTCCTTGTCCCAAAATCTAATTTAAAATATTTGATACAAAATTCACTTAATAGAAGTATAAATCAAGTTACTTGTTGATTTATCTAATGTCTTGAAAGTTTCAATAGTTTTCATTTAGTGGGAAGGAACGTGAAGTGAACACGATAATTAATAGGTTTTACGTCTTATAACGTGATTTTCTTAATGATCTATATAATTTAATGAATCCCTTTTTTAGACCGGAAAAGGGAAGTAGTTCACTGATTGTGCAATTACAAGTCTATAAATAGCTAATGTAAGTTAGAGATCGCGTACAACTGGTTTTCTTATAAAAATAAGTTGAATTGTTCCCTTTTTAGGATACATCTCAAAAACTTCAAATTCTTAGTAAGTTAGATAACATTTCAATATCTTAATTGCCTTCTAAACTGGACGTCACACCAATTTGTATTATTGAATAAAAATTTATTATTTTTCATACGCTCCCGAACCGCTCTCGAACGGATGGCTTGTCGAATGTTCTTTGATAAATCATATGAAGTTATTATAATATGCCGTAACTAATTATATTTTAAATATATCTAGATCGGATATTCAAATTTAAATATTGTCGACGAATTTGTCTTAATAACATCAATAACGTAAGCGATTAATTCAAAATAGTCGTAAAGGTTATGACGAATCTAAGAATATCTCTGACCTCTAGGTCTCAAAACTTCGGTAATGACTATAATTTGGATTGGCCACCGAAGTAGCCGGCTTCATATTTTTGATTAAAACTCTTGAGGCGTTATTTAGATCAAAGGAAACAAATTTACATCTTAATATCGACTTACTTCTATAATTTTACTGATAGCAACATCACCATCATACTTCAAGCAAGTCAATTTCGTTACTAGGAAAATAGTTCAGTCAATCAAAATAGTCCCAGCACATAAGAACTCTTTCATGAAAAATTTCTGACACGACGACGTAGTGGGAGCAAACGACAAGAACTCATAGCCAATCTTTACGAAAACTGAATAAAAATTTTGCGTTGAACTTTTTGAGGTTTCAATCGCAACGTACGTGAATCAGGACCTTTGACCATTTCTATGTAACCTTTCGAAAGATTAGAAAATAATTTACCGTGGCCGCTAATTATATAATTATGTTCACAAATGTAACATCCGCGATATCTCTTTGAAATTGTATTAAGCCAGGATTAAAAGTGTTTTGTATTTAATTATCGTTTTTCTGGCTGTGTTATTCATCAACATGCAGCTATATCATCGAAATTCCGAAGCAAGACCAAAGTATAAAAATAGTGCATGCGTGAATCTCTCTTTTTCAGTCATTGCTCCAATAGTTTTCACCGCCTTATAATCGTTCGGAGTAGAATCTGATTCTAATTATTGCGATACAATAAACAGTAGATAAATATGTCCATAACGTCGGACTGAAATGAAGTTCTGGAATGCAACAAAAGTTACAATCCCCAAACCTTAAATCGGAATTCGTAAGCGAAAACCGGAAGCCCAATTTCATTTGTCTGAGACACGAACGTGCATTTCGAAAATCTAATTGTTTGTCCGATTCTTGCGGTTAACTGAGGTAAAATTCGAAATTTATATATTAAAGTCGCATTTTTAGTAGGATTATCGTGTTTGAAACAAGACCTTTATAGTAAACCTTCGATATCCAATCGACATAATGACATAGTACTTTAAAGAGCATGAGAGATGACATTTGACAATCCGAAATTTATTAACAAATGGGTTTCCGTATAAGAGTCCCATGCTCTACAAGCATGCCATTTTTTTTTAGAAAACATGGTTTTCACTTATCATGGATCACTTATCATGAATAAATCATGAAAAGTCAGTATGCACCACGATCCATGAGTCAGTCGAAAAATCCTATTCATGAAATCTATGAACTAAAAGTCTACATTTCAACATAGTACCAGTGGTATGCGGAATATAAAGTAGTACTATATACATTCATGTCATCTATAACTAATGTTTAGAGATTAAAAACCATCTACCTGCGTAAGAAAATCTCACACACAATAAACGCTTTGTTGATATATATTTTCTCCATTACATTAATACCTTGGATAAACTCAAAAGGAAAAGCTGGGATTCAATAGGCAGAACCGCCGAAATTGAAAGCGTATTTTAGTTACTGTAAATCTCTGGTCTATGCTTCACACATATTCATCTGTCTTTGTACAATGGCAAAATAAACGTGCATTCTTCGTCTATTCACCAACAGGAACTTCAAAGGCTTTAATTCGTAAAGACCTGTCATAACCAGTGACTTTAATATTAAAATATGATGGATATATCATTGTGAGGAATTTTCTATTTGTCTATTGATGGAACAGGTGCAGACCTCGTCAAAATATTCGCGAAGAAAACAGTTTTATGAAATTTCAAAATTTTTGACAAAATTCGCATAAAAATTATTGATAGAAAATTATATTTTATAAACGAATATGAATATACTTTTCAGTTGTTTGTTGTATTGCTTATAATTAAAATATTCCTAGAACTAGAGGTTAAAGTTGCTTTATTTCCACCACATCTATACCAAACAGAATATTATTGAATATTTTCACTGAATTTTTGTTATAAAATGCACACTGGCTAGTATACTTGTACGACACTTTTTGTCACAGAGTCGTTGTTTCCTAAAATTAAATTTCCAACTATTTTGTAACCCAATGGACCACCTCACGATTTGAATGAAACCGATGAAATTTTTCAAATGTAGGCGTGGTGTATGCGTTGTTTTGTGCAGCGTAGAAACAAAATGGACGGGACATTATATTGTCATATATTGAAAGCCGAATTACTGGAGTGAAAGTAATAAGAATTACTGTAGATGTAGGATGCTGATTACTGTAGGATGCTGTAATATGCGTGCTATTCAGACATCCGGCATTTCTCCTAGGTACTTATTTATTTACTTTATCGTATAATAAGCGGCGTTTTTAATGAGACCCTACTTATTACGAAATCCCCAATTTTAGGGAGTAAATTGTTTAGTAAATTAACATTTGATCAAGGATAGCCCATATGTACAGCGCTCCTTTTCCAGGTATTCATGTATCAATCATACTTGATGAAAATTTCAATTTTAGGGAGTTGCTTTTCATTTTGTTGCGTCCTTGAATAACCATGACGTAATCGATTACATCATAATGGATTCATTCAGAAAAAATGGCGATACAAACGGACGTGATTATGTTTCATCATTTGTGATGATATGATAAGAAAAAATTTCTGCGAATTCGCTCGATTGTGAAATCAAAACCTTAATACCCCAGGGACGGTAAGAATTCAAATATATCATTTTATTTGGGAGAGTAAGATTGCATCATGTAATAAAGCATTACTCATGAATTGAAACGTCAAGTCCCATCACCGGTGTGGAAGTCCCTCTCTTCTACTTTAAAATTTAATGAGGTTGTCTACCAGATTCTCAATTGACTTTTGTTTGGCTTCCATCTTATAGCATGACATAATGTGAAAAATAAACAAGTGTATGTGTTTTATACGATTTACCGTCGCTTTAATTTCGCGATTTACGATTTATGAACGTCAGTGAACAGCCTATGAATCTTTGGTTTCCGAACCATAAACAAAGACACGAAAAAAAAATTGCAATTTGTTCAGTCTTGAAGACGCAACAAAGACTCTATTTGTGTCAGAATGGCATATGGTGACAGCTAACTGACTATTTGAGCTCAATTATACTTAATGCCAATGGAGTCTCTTTGTCTTTTCTTCGGAAAATTGTTACCGCAAATATGTTTCTCTTATAAATAATGATATATAATGGGTGCCGTTGTATTTAGATTCAAGACCAAGAATGGAGATGAAATGCGGATGATACCTGTATGACCTCATGATGTCTAGAATTTTATCGTGCATTTCAGGCATTGAAAGCATGATCCATCTCTAGCTCATATTCGATGGAGGGATCGCTTTTATTTGAAGGGCAAGCGGTGGGATGTCAATATGACTCCTCGACTGGAAATTGTCATTTTGAATGTTTAAGAAATTCCAAAGACAGATTAGCTGTCGGATGACTACCTGCTATCATTATATAATATACTAGTTGTATTTTGCCAGATTGATCTGCTTTTATATCCAGAAAGGATACTAAGTTAAGCTACATCTCACACAAGTTTTATAATTTGATATGATACCGGTTTTATCTGCCGCTTGTGGTGCATACTTTTGGCAGTTTATTATCTTACTCATCGCTCAGTAATGTTTACAAGTCCTCGATTACTTTGAATAAGAGCAGGAATTTGTGATAATCTGTTTGCTTTTCTTTCAAGAGTTATTATCCAAATGCTGGAGATTATCCCAACTACCCCAGTGTGTACGTGACAGCTCCTTCCTAAGAAGTAGTCATTTTTGGACGTTCCCAAAGATAAGCATTTAACATAATTGACAACCGTAAAACGAAATTGTTTTGATTCTGACTCAAACGAAATGGAAAAAGACGAAAAAAACATGTTTAGTCAATTCTTTTTGGTCGGTTAATGATAGATAAAATTAACTCTGTAGATACAATAACACACTAATAAATTCAGCAAAATTGTTAATACAAATATCAGTGTGTTTCATTGTTTTTGCTAGTTATTTTCTTGGTGCAAAATTCCAAAACCTTTTGTAACCATCATCCGAGAGCGAAACATTATGAAATGTGTATAAAATCACGATATCTATTTTTAAGATCTAACTAAATTATATTTTTGATTATTATCTTTGCTATAAACGAGGCCTAAAAATATTTTTTCAGACATGCACGAACTTGATCACAATTTGAATGGAGATTTACGATTCGATTATCTAAATAGCTGGAATTCGAAGCCAAATTCTACAATCTGCGAGATAAGCCCTAAAATCCACTGTGTTACTGTGGTTCGTCAAGATGCAAGTTCTTTTTCTTTCGATTTTTAAACGCTTTGAATGTGACCTTTTCATTTCATCGTTAATTTTAATATTTCATTTAACAAAACCTGAGGTTTAATATCTCCACTTTCAAACACGAGTACTGGTATTGGATTCCAAACACTCCCACAACTATACAGATATAAATCTTAATAACCCTTTTTAGCGGATATTATCCAACAATATTGACTTTGATAGCCGCTAATTTCACATACACCCCATTTCTGCTTAAACCTTGCAATAATAAATAATGAATAAATTGCTAATTCTCGACAATTACGTATGCACATAATACAAGCATGAAATGGATTTATTATTAATAACAAAAGGTGTTAAAAGTTGACTAAAATCGGAGCGTTAAATAATGTTTTTAAATGCGTCGAGGAAAATTATATAAACAAGCTTAATCCTATTTGCATTGCAAATAATAGCAAAATAAAAGTGAAAACACTGTTTATACAGAAAGTTTTTGTAAAGCAAACGACAAGTAGTAAAAACATATTGACAAAACGATGTAGAAGATACCATATTCTTTGTATTAGTGATAAAATATTATATCTTGTTAAATAAATTCAAGACAAATTGCAAATTTCATGGGTATAAAATGAGTTGTGTTGCGAATAGTTACAATAGTCTCCGGAGATTCGATTTTGGACCCGAACACGAAAACATATTTAAAACTTGGGAAATTGTTCGTTTGGATCTTCAAATTGTGGCCAATAAGTGAAGTTACACAATCATTTAGATATCATTTATCATATTTAGCAAAATGTATGATTCGGTTCATACAATAGAGTCACAATCATTTTTTTGCAGCTTGAAAATTTTTTTGCTGGTCACATGTTTCGCCAAAACGGCCAGGCTCACAACTCTACAACTTTGTTATTAAGATGAAGATGCGTTAAAGCAACATATATGTTTAAAATTCAGCTATAGTATAATAAAAACATAAATGAACAATAATAAACAAATTCCACAATAAACGTACCACCACGGACAAATAAATTTCGTTAACACCACTTCTGATTTTAGTTTGTCCAATATAAGAATATAGTGATACAGTGAACATTAGTAAATTTTTACAAATTTTCCAAAGAAAAACCCTTGTAATTTTCCTTATTACCCAATCTTTACATTTTGAAAAACATCAGATAACAGAAATATGTATTAAAGCAATGAGCAATATTTGTTCGTTCTTCTTGACGTCAATTCAGGGTTTGGAGTAAAATGAAAACCCCCACTATGCGTTAGTCATTTTCCCTTTGCCTTTGTTTAATATTTTCATGTAGATTGAATATTGTGTAAAGGTAATAATATCAAAATTATACAGCGGTTTCTGCTTTTTTAGTTCGAATTAAAAGTTATTTTGTCAAATTTGCGTTTTTGAAGAAAGGTGGTTGTTGGTTTCCAATGCAAAGTTTGACTATCACCAAGAAATTTTTAGCGAAACATTCCTCTACCACAGTTTTTCAAATTTTATCCCAAAATAAAATGACAAAGCATTATACTATTCAAGCGCATAAACATAATCTCCGTGTTTAAATGCTTTGCACATCACAGGATTTTATAGGATAGGTCTTCTTTCAGATGCTGTCACTGATAGGGGCTTGCGCAAAGCTGGTCGTGACGTAGTTTCGAAATGCTGTTTCTAATTTAGTTTTGAGGGGAATACGCTACTTTGAAGCCGTATTATTCTAGATGTTTCGAAGAAATGAAAAATGTGAGTAAGAATATTTACAAAAAGACAAAAATGCTCAGAAACGTTGAGTTATACGAAAAAATAAAATGTCGTACTGGATTATACACGCATATAGATACGTGCGTTATGAAGGTAACACCATGCAATACTACACCAAAACTAAAATAGGAAATTTTCAGAAGTTTCTTTCACATACAACTCGATAACAGTGACACTCTACCAAACCACAATCAAACCAGAGACCCGAACATTCAATAAAGAGCCGCTGGATTGATTGTCGGCAGTGTAAGTCATTACGTGGACTAAGGCACAGTTACAAACAGCTGAAACTTCAGGAAACATAAAATACAATGTGGACAAACAAGATACTTGGATTTTGAATAAGAGAAGAAAGGGGCAATTATTATCTTGTCTTCATGATTCCTACTCGTATTGAATTTCAAAGCAAAAAGTCGCAAAAACGTTTTTCAACGATTTTAACGAAATCATCCTCGTTTGATGATGAATCAGTTTTGAATGAAAGAATGCGCCTAGCCCCTGTAGTAGCGTCTGTATGGCGTATGTCGTCTGTTCAGTCCGCCATGTCGATTCCTTCCTCTTCCATTAATGTATGACCTTCTGTTGGATCTGTATGCGGTATATCCGTGCGACATGAGAGCCTGTGGTTTTGGAAAAGATTTGGCAACTGGTGTCGACCTGCTAGGAGAAGTTGTCTTGCACTTCACCTTTATTCTAACGGAAGGCAATTTTAATATTGTTTTTTGAAGTTCGAGGCAAGTTTTTGCCATGGCAGCTTGTTGCCGCAGGCTGTCGGCCAAACTGAGTAGAAATACAAACAGATAAAAATAGCAGAAAATTACATGAACGTGGTGATATTTGAATGACTTACTTGATGAACTCGTTGATGTGACGTGGGGCGGTCACGGGTCGCTGATCCACAACCCGAACGCGTAAATTGTCATCTCTTTTCGCGCCGTTCAAGTGCGACAGAAGTCTCTCTGATGTGTCCTTGTGACTTGGGATGGAGGACTTGTCAGGAAGCACCTGTGAATGCAAATTGAATTCGGGTTCAGTTATCGGTGTTGATGGCACTTCTAAGAACATTGTATATTGTGTGAATGAATCGGAGGCCATCTCCTCAGCACGATCATAATTTTCTTGACCATGACTGAGAGCGTCATGGTGTATTGTGCATGAAGTTATCAAGCTGCAGTATGTTCAGGTTAGTTGGTGAATCATAAAATGTACAGATTATCAAACTGCATGTGACTACTACATATCTTTAGATAATTTTGAGCGGTGCTAAAATGACATGAAACTTGTAGAGATTATTAGTGTTGATAAATTTTTACAGATGTAAATAACCGTGTTGCTGACATCCTTCCAACTACATCCATGGTAAAGAAGTGAGAATGAATATTACTATATTAATTGAATGATTAATGTTTAGTTAAGTGTCATATATTCATTACAGTATTAGACGCAAATTCAGCAATTACGTAATGATGCAATAAAAAAGCGCAAGTGCTAATGTTGTCAGATCGGTCTATGTAGCACTATTAACTTCATGTTCGGTTTTTCGATGTTGCGAGCAAGTTTTGCGCCGATGCGTTTGCACACTTAATTTGAATGCACCTTTTTTAATTACAACATGTGTCGCATATTTTACGACACTTGAATATACAGAAATGTATATATTTATGACTCTGAAGCGATTAAAGTTAAATGCTTTCATGAGACATCATGATGGTCTACGATCCACAAGCAAGGGTCATTAAAATTCTTGACACAGCAAGGTCTGCAACTGATGACAGTTACACTCTGTGAACTGAGCAATGGGCGAATGTGAAATTCTAAAGAACTGAAAAATATCGCCAACTGCTAACTTTTTTGTGAATAAATAGGTCCAAATTATATTTGAGGTTGAGAAGATAGCTTTATATGATTTAATTCGACAATAGTGATGAATGCATGAATGATTTCTATTGTTTTTGGGAAGCACGTGACACATCCACCTGGTATCCTATTATTCCTTTCAATCCTTTTGCCTCCAGTTTTCTTTTCACATATATAGAATTGATTGGCTCCGTTTGCATCACACGCTGCCAAAATAATTATTTGGCAGTTATGAACCATATTAGTGCGACTTGTTCAAATAATATCGTTTGCGCTGTAAACGGATATGACGTAAACTTCGAAAGACACATTCATGATGTCATTGTCTACTTTGACACCTAGTTCACGGCAATATTTAGTTCTTGCGTAATCAGTGTTCCACAACTCCTGTATGTATTTTAATAAGTGTGAATCAATTTTAAAATGGATCAAGATTAAGTAAGATAAGGTGTCGCGCACGTTCGACACATGGTCAATTTCTATTTTTTCAAATTCTCTCATTTTCACGTAAGTTTGACATAATGTACTAAAAATACTACCGCCAATTTGTCTCCTATGTGCGTTATTAACCAATGTGTCGTATTTTGCAAAATTTCATATTCTACTGAAAAACATAGTCGTGAATTGCTCAATTGTAAAACATTTCTATCCTTTTCAATTTTCTTGTGGGAGATAAATCTGTATGACACAAGAGAACCTATCTTTTGTGAAATATGATTGAGTTGTCTACGGAACAACCATTTTGTTGATTAGACGCAGTGGAAAAAACAAACAAAGTATTGTCTCATATGTTTATTAATCTTGAAGTTACAAAATTTTTAATATAAAAACGATAAAAAATAAATACGAAGACGGTAGTTTAGCAAAATAAATACCTGGCCCAATGGCACAATTGCATAAATAAATACAAGTTAGGTGCAGAATGTAAAACGTTGAAACTCACAGTAGACAATAATATGGAGAATGAAAGAAATGAACAATAACACGAAAATGTAGTAAAAGTGTGCGCAGAAAACCGGAATAATTATAGCTATATTATTATGCTTAATGCAATTGAATGCATAGAACTTTTGGAATTGGAAGGAGCATTTAAAAGCACACTCCAGAACAATATTGGACAATCAAAGCAAAAAATGTCTCGGTAAATAAATGCACTGGGATAGATGTTACATCCCAAACTTTTCTGTCAGAGGTCTGCAGTAAACATCGACTCGATAATATTGGATAAAAATTATTTTAACTGGAACGAAGTTGTCGTCTGCGCACAATCACAGTGGTGCACCTTGTATATGTTTTACTCGACACCGAGTTATGTAACTAAAGTCACACTTCCCTCAGACGTTAATCCACAGATTGAAGTTATTGGTGAATCGAGCTAACGATGTGGTAATCCTTCGGTAATTCGGTGACATCACCTCTACACGCGAACAACGAAGTGCTGTGTCGCGGCGGGGTGATAGGTCAACCATCGAAGCCGAATTTTCCAAAAATCGTAATCTGTAACATCCGACAGTCTTCCTCCTTATATCCTCGATATTTAGAATAAAGCATCAATATAGTCCGAAAAATAGTCTTTATCTGAATATTAATGCTTATCCTTTGCACCCGCGGATTCAGCATTGATAGCCGCATTGTGATCGTCGTTCTTTGCGGACAAATTTGTTCCTTCTCTCGCGTATAAGAGCTGCATCCAACTGCCCTCTCCTGAGATAAGCTCCATGAGAAGATCTCTAAGCAAGGTATATCCACGTACAATAGGACATGGCCGAAGTAATCGTTTATCCCCGGTGACGTATCCTTCTCGACATGAATCTCCATAAAAGTGCTCGTTTATCCTGTTTCATGAAACAAATACAATATTTGAATTTCATTCATATCAATTTTTGATCTATGTTACTAACGTACCATAATATACTCCCTTGATTATTCAGCGTTTACTTACATAAACATTATACTGCGTAATTTTCGTAATCTTTCTCGTGCATCAGAAATCGCGAAGACAAAGAACTCGCGAATCAGCGAAGCTATTTCATTTAGTCAAAACGAATCACTATAAAAATACATAAAGTTGAATATTTACCTCAACACTTATGTTCTTTCCATCTTCAGCTGCTGCGATAAGTCTCGCAAGCATTTTCATTCTTCTGCGTTCATGCATTTTTCGGGCAACATGACTTGAGATGTTAACATCGGCATGTCGCCTAGCTGCAGAAGATCTGTCGAAATAAGATAAATATGATTATTGAAATGATCTCACATAACCAATGAAATTTTTTCAAAGGTTTGAAATTAATCAATGTAAAAATTAAATGAAAATATTCTTACCTGTCGTGTTTTGATACTTTTCGACTTCCATCTTCTGTAGTTGGTCTAGTTGACCCATACGCGATACAACAGATCACAACGAAAAGAATAATTTGAAGTTTGCACATCTTGAAGTGTTTGATTGAAATTGTTTTATAAAAGATTCGTAGTATAAAAGCAATTAGTTGCGTATATCTTTGTAATGCTCGTAAAAGCTCTGTTCACAATAGTCGCAACGTCTTTGAATGTTAACCTCGCAACCCGATCGTCTCTTTTATACACTCGCTCGTGATACGGACGCTCAACGTATTTTTTCCTATTGCTATTCAACAATACATATATATTTAAAAATAGAAATTAACTGCGTTAGAGAACGTGAAAACGCTCGAGAAAAAATGTGACGGCAAGAGCGTAGGCGAGCAGGGCGTACGATCCTTTTGTATCACTCTCTCGAACCGAGTTGTTCTCGAAAAAGCAAAAGTAAAAAAATATATGTGCTAGGTTTGCTACAAACTGTAATACTAGAATTAGTTTATTGTCGATAACAAATATATTAACATTTTCAATTAGATTGATATTATCATGAACGTATGATAAGCACTGATATAATGTTATAACACAATTATGTCGATGAATATAAAAATTACGTGTAGCTTGATTTGATATAATCAACTGGAGACGCCTACCACAATATTGAACAACTGCGGCTAGAAGAGTCATTATTTGTCGCCAACCTTACAAGTCATGCCCGAAGACCTGTTACCTGTTGATTAATTTTCTCGATTTAGTTTGATGATGATTATCTAAAGTTCATTTACTCACGTTCAAATCTATCAAAATGTCTGCGTTTGGAATAATTAAATGTTACCTCCCTTCACAAATATTGAAATAAGCCGTATGCCTTTTCATGGTGTGTTAAGTATCCATATCCTTAATAAAATATGCTATTAAAGTGTCTTCTCCATTTTATATTTTATAGCCCCGGAAGAATATCGGCCACGAGAGAAAACTTAAATACACAGTACGCTAAATTATTAATCCAACTTTTCATATTAAACTGCAAAATATAAAAAAAAAAGTTTTCATATGACTACCACCTAGTTTAAAATAGGGTACATGTTCTTCAGGTCACAATATCTTTGACAACATTGACACTCTGACTTTCCAGATTAATTGAATACACAGATCGTTTCTCTAAACTTTATTTCATTCACATGATCTATGAGCTAAAATTAAACTTGCGGTCGCTGCCGTCTGTCTGTCCTATTACCCTGCGATCATTTTCTCCAGCTTTCCTATGAACGCCATCTTACGGTACGACCCTATTCTATTTATTCGCCACCTCAGTTTAGAAAGCAAATTATTGACCTGACCCATGGTTAATTTTGTTAATGAATTATATTTAAGACTGTTTTAACATCTATCGCGTTTTACAATCTAGCCTTTGAGCTCTTTCTGTTGTAATCTCAGCGCGACATGACTTCTCCCCTGCTTTAGTGGAAATCTTCTTGTACGTAAAACTTGTCTTCAGCACTTGTAGTACTTTCACTGAATAAAGCCGGAGAATCGCCGTATGTTGTTGGAAAATAAGTTCATAGTAATTTTGTCGATGATATCATATTCTAGGTTAGTTCTGTTTACGTGTTTATTGTGGGTTATCCACAGGTATCACTGCACGTATTATCCCTTTGTGCAACTGTCGCTCATCCTGTGTCGTCAGTGAACGTCACTAGCTGTATCTTCCAGTATTATTTTCAATAGTGTATGCAGTTTTTCAGAGCCAAATAAAATTTGCAACTTTATGTGTTTGGTTTTACTGGTGTAGCAATTATTCTTGGATCTAACCCTCAAAAACAAATAATATGGTACATGAGACAAAGTCCAATTCACTCTTGAAACACCAATCATATATAGGACTATCTATGAAATGGAAATAATCCAATAACGTTCAATAAATTATTGAACTTGCAGGAAACGGGTTATAATATGAAATCGGTCGTGAAAATTGCCGTGACATTTTCAAAACAATCGAATCTTTGTGACTCTCGTTCAAACAACCATTAAAAAGCCCGCCTTAGGCTTGCTTAATTCTATAATCTGTATACAATTTAATAAAGCTATCCAATAGTCAGATCTACATCGTTAACGTAGCGTACGCCAGAATAAGGCAAGTTTTCCTATTTCACACGAGTGCAAATTCAAGCAGGTATTATCACCTTTGCTGTATATGGGGTTTTCCACAATCACAAACAAATGACGCAATTTAATGACGTCCTCTAATTAAAGAGGATGGAAGACGAATGAATGACATTTTTATATCCGCATAGTTAAAGTTGAACACTCCAATACGCATTTAGATAAGGTCGTAAAACATTTGAACAAAGCGAAATGCCATTGAAGGACCCGTGCTTGAGATGTTATGTATGCAGTCTGCATGTCTGATATGTGTAATTTGATCAATTTCCACGTGTCATTTAATGACTCTTTATCGTTACAAATTCCTATCTGAACATAATACGCTATTTATAGTTTTACTTCCAAATTTGTTTGTTGAAACGATGCAAAACGTGCAACTAATTGTCTTATGTGTGATATTTCAGTTTACTTGTTCGTGATTCGATCCTAAGGTTCCTCTTTACTCAGAAAAAGTCCATGCAATATGAAATGTTTTTGATAATAAACTGGTATATACAGTACAGAATCAGAAATATTAAACCGGCTTTTTAATTTGGGTATTGTTAACATCGCTTTCTGGGCACTACAATTTACTGGCAATTGTTGTCAAAACATATTCGACATTTTCGAAGGATAACTGGGTGTAATGTTTGTACAAATTGCCAAAGATTTCAATACTGTTAATTTGTTGCCGAAATAATTTAGAAAATGATAATTGGATTTCCGAAGTGTTCTGTTCCTGGTTACCCAATTTACGTTGTTTATTTACTAGGGCTTGAAGCATCCGGATGAAACGGGTAACTTACATAATAGCATGACTCACTAGAAGGAGATTTGGTCTTCACAAAATCAGAATCAATGCACCGGATCTTATAATTAAAAGGGTAGTTTTGGACAAACCTTCGTCTACATTTTACTTCTATATATTTTTTGAAAATTTTTGGAGAAGTGGCTGAAGTTACTTCATTGGAATAACTAAACAGTTCTTTCTGTACTAAGGTTGAAATTGAAAAACAACAAAGAACATTTGAATCATAAACATTGTTACTTTGAATATAGTCCATTAAGTTTTTAACATTTAGTATAATGATCATGTTAGATCACAGCAAAGAAAGAAAATCATGTATCTTGCTTGGTCAGAAGCATACACCTGACGTCATTATTAACCATGATATATAGATTGACCAAATCATACAGTATGACAATAAATAAAGGGATTTACATTTATTTGCTCGTCATGTCACGTGCCTTCTGTTGTGAGCAATATCTGACGATATACAAAATTATGTCTCCCAGGCTGATACCATCTTAATAAATACTCCTCGTACGACTAGCTCCACGTGTTTACAGATAACAATCGGCCCCCACTAGAAAAATTATCATAGTTATCCATAGTCAACAGCGTCACTTAATATTATTTGCATACCGTATGGAATTTAAGTTATGTACATTCAATTACAGCGAACAAACGGACTACCATCACCACGTTGGTCCCTAGTTTGTTTGATTCTCGCTGCTCGCTAAAAGAGGTTTACTTTGTGCGTGTTGCAAGAAAACATACAAGTGTGCATAAGGTGTTAGATAACGGCTCTCTTTAAATACAATAATCATACCCCTCGCTCAGTTGAAAGGCGGAAAGACCTTGAAACCTATATTTAACCTATAAGATAGAAAAATATTTGCTGAAATCTCACTCTTCTAGTCAGTGAATATTTGGTGCTAGTAAATAGGCCTACTCACTAAATGCGCATCATTCACTTTGATGTCGCCAATTGCAGTCGCTTTAAAGGTTTCTGATCATTTTTCTGTGAACCGTCAAACACCTGCTCGAATATTGCACTCGCTGCCGGGGCAAATTGATTCGTTCGCGACAATGACTAATCGACCTTCAAATAATGCCCACTCGAAGAACTGTTAAGATTTCTGCCACCCGAGTCTTGTCGTAAGATCTGGTTGATTTTCTGCAAAAAAGCTGAATAAATTCAACCGGAGTTTTCACGTCATTACAACTACTAGTCTGAGGTCTTGGACTTATGAGATTGTTACTAAAAATCATTTCATATAAATGTGCATCGTGCTGTACTTGCAGACGCAATTATCAAATAATGAAAAGAGCAAATTTTACCAAAATCCGCTTTGAATTATTGTCAAACTCAAGTTATTTTCAAGTTAATCTCCAGTGCAGCGGTACGAAGAATTGATAGAAAATTTATTGCCTGATAAATAAATTGATGTGTACTCAGACAAGAGCTAAGGCCGTATTTTGTTTGAACAGATTCGTTTATGCTGACATATGGGCAACATCGTGGTGCACTTAAAAGAGATTGTGTCGCGACTGGCTCTTTTGTGCGGTTTCGGTCGGTTGTCTGTATTGGTAAAATTTATACGCACATGAACTGTTTATTACACGTTGTATTGACAATACAATGAAATTGAAATTGAACAGTGCTTAATTTGATTAAAATTTACCTTCTATACTTTTCTTAAATAGGGGAGATAATTCTGCACACAATCTGGAATTTCTGATAAATTTGAATTTTAAATGTATTCAAAAACATTAATATGGTCATCGTGAACTTCACACTTTTTATTTCATTTGTTTACCCGTAGGACCATTTTAATTCTATACGTATTTTAATGAACTATGCCAGTAATTCTACTTCTAAACAGAAATTGCAATCTATTCGGCAGGGGTCCAATTGCTTGTTATACAGCAAATAAGATAGTATTAGAAGTGATACGAAACGATATAAAAATGCAGCATATAGTGCATGCTTGCTATATTCAGCGTTGCTTCTCAAATTTTTTTCCGTAACACTTGAAAAAATAAACGTGAAAAAAAGATTGAATAAAATAAATGACTTTTTTAAAATATATTTTGTCACGTATACATAAAAAGAAAAAGGGATTTCTGACTGTAGAAAATTTTAATGACTGTTTTGTCAATATATATGGTTGAATCTTATTATAACACAATATTTTTTTTTTACTTATGATGGACCACCATGAATATGTCTACCGCATTTTGACTTACCGTATTTAGTATAAACATGCGTTAGATAGGGCGTGTTCACGGCACACCCTGCAGTATTTAAACTTTCCGTGAATTACATTGATCTGAAAAATTGAGGTCACTGAATCCAAGGCTTAAATTATCTGTTCCGAACTCTAGAATTGTTACCAAAATTGTTTCAGTAGCTATTTCAGTACCGAATAAGAGCATGGAAAAACAATTTACATGATTATAACGTCATAACATTTAGTCATTTTGCCTACAATTATTGCAGCAGTTGCGCATAATACTATCTATATCTAATGAAATTATAAACCAGTTATAAATTTGATAGGTTGAAAAATCCATCATTCAACCGAAGCTAGGCATTTTCAAATACCCCATGATTTCAAAATCGAATCGATATTCAATTATATAGAATCCACTACTCAGACAGTATGCTGAGCGTTCTCACTCAACAAGAAACATGTTTCATCAATAACTCACTAATAAAAAGATTCATATGTCGGAATTGCGTTGTATAAATTTGGCTTCAATGAAAAAAATTTATGATTTTTGGCGGCCAAATAAAATACAAGATATCGGCGTTTCGGAATTTTCGTCTGAAACGATTCGAATAATCTACAATACGATTTGAAATACCCTACATCCAGATCACCCGTTTTAATCCCTGCAAAAGTATCTAGTTCTAGTCGGTCATTCGGATCCGATAAAAGGCAGAGTGAGGAAAGTTGTATTTGATTACACATTACTCTTGTTTTGAAAAACTATGTTATTATTTAACTTTCGGATGTGTAACAAAATGCTTCTACATTTTGCGCGTTTTTGAAGATTTTGTATCATCAATCAACATGCAACTAAATCATTCTTTAAAA